ACACTTTGAATTCAGTCACACTGCAACAATTTTTTATTTTTTATTTTAAGTTTTGAGTCTCTAACCTGCAGCTGGCATTCACATCCCAGCTGGATGTCCGTCAAGAAACATCATCTATGACCACCTCTTACACTTTTTAAATCTAAAATTGGGTTTTAATTTCATACTTCATTAAAAAAAAACTACATATTTATGATTTTTAGTCCCATGATAAGGTCAAAGTTTATACCAGTCAGATTTAAAGATGGCTCCTCTCACACTTAACCAAAGATCTCCTATAAGGAGCTAATACGAGTTCGGTGAATTACAATATAACTGTGACCGTAACACAAAAAGACAAGCAGCTGCCTCCAATAGTTCTAAGAGCTTTGGAAGGTTTTTGTCATCTGAAAGTGCCTATATTTACATTTTATGGGGAAAATGAGGAATTTTCTGCATAAATAGACATAAAAAGAAAAGAAGTGCTCTTAAATGCGACCTACAAAATACTTTAACAGAAGTGTGCAAAATAAAACAAAGTGAAATGCAAACCTCAGACTGAACCAGCAGAAGGAAAATGCAGCCAAGTCCGTTATTTATGTGTGATGAAATCTCGTGTGTTGGTTCTTAAAGTGCATGCAGGATAATGTACGACTAAATGGCAATGCTGCATCTTGGCAAAGGGACAGAAATCGTTTAATAAATATGCATCAATCAGCTTTAATCAGAAACTTAATCAATGTTTCAGTTATGAGTAGATTTATTCCAAAGATTTTCTTTTGGAAGGTCTATTTTTATGTTCAGCATGAAAGAAAAAAGGTCTGTTTTAAGCTCTGTATGTGTCAATAAATAAATTATAATTTGGAATTAAGACACCAGTAGTCAAGAGGCTCATACGATTCATTAATGAGCTCAATAAACTGTGATTGTATATGTTTTTAAAATCCCACCTGTCTAAAATGAAAGCTTCAGCTGATGGTCTGAAGGAACTCAGGTTTAGAGGAGATGAATCTGTGGTTTTCCAGGACACCATGAATAAAAGCATGCTTGTGGTTCACAATGGAGGTGGGCTGCAGCCTGAGGAGGGGGAAGGGCGATGCATTCCTCCACTGACCTGCTGTTTGCAGCAGATATTAAACAATAACTGCTCCTTTTTGTGAGACTTCAGCAATAATGATCAGGATGAGGAGCTCCACAGACACGAGTTCTGCTTTCACAGAAAATGTGTGAACAAAAAGCCCCTTTAATTGCATTTATGCAGTGAGGAGAAAACAAACAAAAAAAAAAAAACCAAGCATTTTATGACACTGAAAAAGTGATTCGGAGTGATTACCTTGAGGAGCAGCAGCAGCTGATATACATCATCTTCAAGAATGTATCGCCTTTAATTGAATAAACGTTAATGTTATTGATTAAATGGTAAACGCTTTACCTCAATATGAGAACGGTAAGTCTACAAATTGCTGAATTCAGAACAAATCTTTAAATTGAAAATTAAAAGCAGCCATGAACAATAAATATCTTACCTGTTGTAAATTCAGTAGCTTTCTGAACGGCCTCCGTTTGAAGAAATAGTTTAGCTCTGACCAGAATGATAAGCCACTGGCTCGTTTATTTACATCACTGTCATTTTTGCATTACAAAGTTATTTACATGAAATTTTATGGAAATACACAAATAGCAGCAGCAGCAGTTTTCTGTAGCATTTCCACTGCAGATTGAAGCACTTTTGCCAAAATTAGCATTATATTGCTACCAAAATAACTATATAATGTGAATTGAAGATAGAAAAAAAGTTAATAAAATAGCTTTTGCATAAACCAATGGTTCTTAAAGTTGGTGTTGGGGTCACGAAACACCAAAGCCGCTTTGCTATTGATAAGTGCGACTCCACTCAGCTCTCGTCTAGTTCTTCCTAGATGTGATTTGCCACTGCGACTCGTTTCCCTGCTCTGTGGGCGAGATCCTAACAGGTCGAGCCACTCTACCTGTCGTGGTCCTTAATCCTTAATCGCCCTATAATCTGACTTCAATTCATTTAGCTTACCTGGCATTGCTTATAAGTCCGGGTGTAGCCATGTTGCGCCATCATCTCCGATATCTCTCACTAAATGTGCTCATTTCTTGTGGCGCTGTCCGTCATCACAACGAGGAAGTGGAGGTTCAGATTAGGCTTGTTGCGATAAACAATAAATCAATTAATCGCACTATGAATGAAAATTATCAGCCTCGTTTTCATTTACCGGCTTTGTCGTTTCTTCGTGTCTCTCTCTTTCTTCTGAAGACACGGCTCAACTCCGGTGCTCTTTATTGACCCCTCTCTTTCTCTTTAAAATACATTTTAACCGTCCAAAATCACATTTTTGAATCGCTAAAAGCAGCTAAGCTGAGAAGCTAAGCTACGAGTTAAGCTAGCAGATCGACCTGGGGGTGGGGGGGACCTCCGTTTTGTCAAAGCTCCAAAATTCATGGTTGAAACCTGCGCCTTTGTGTAAAAAGTTGTTTTTCTCTGCAAAAAGAAGCTGAGAACTTGTTTACTGACTTTTTTATTAAAAGCTCCGTGTGAAAAATGCTATGAGCTCAAATCACCGAGCGTCAGCCACGTTACCATGTCACGTGTAAAAGTCTAAAAGAGACGCTACTCAACTAGCCATCCTTCGGTTCAGTCTTATACTGCCACCAGGTGGTCAAAAAAGGTACTACACACCAAACAAAATCAACATTTCTTCTCAAATTTGACAATTAATTATTGTTAAATTTCAAACAAGATTATCGTTTATCGCAATAATTTCTGAGACAATTAATCGTCCAGCAAAATTTGTTATCGTGACAAGCCTAGTTCAGATGTCGTTTGCAGTTTTGCTGGGCGGGTCATCCCGGGACGTAGCTCCACTGGCCAATTAGTGTCTGCTTTCGTCAAAATGGGCCCCCCTGAGCAGCCCGCTTGGAACCTCTAACAAGATGGTCCCATAAACTGGGCTGAGTTGGGTTGGGTACCGACAATGGACAGGCCCTTAACTAGTGCAGCGTGGTGCAAAGCTCCACAAGTGGGGGGGGGGGGGTCTTGAGAAAGTCTGTGGAAACCAAATTAACTTTAAAAATGATTGAAAACAGCATTTCAACAGCTGTTCTCTAAAAAGAAAAAATGACCATATATATGCATAAAAACCTTTATAATGTTTAACAAAGCCCCCTTTTCAATGGCTTATTAGCAAGTTTTGTATATTTTAGCAAATTAGTGCAGGTCACAAATCTCTGCAGGTCAAAAGCGGAAAAGTTTGTGAACCACAGGTCATGTGTGCACGTTGTCGTTTTGACTGAAACATACAAATGTGGATAGCAGAGTGCTGTTTGTGCTGCTCACCCTTTTTCAATATGTAGGAGCAAACCAACGACATCCTTGGTCCAAATGAACATTAAAGTATCCACTATGTTGGATGCAACTGTTTTCATGCTTGCAAATAATGTATCCGAGTACAAGTTTGTCCTGTTTACAAATCACGACGCTGGCCAGTGACCTGGCATGAAAACTACAGCAGATTCAACAGCGCAGTCTAAACATGTTTGTTTTTCATGTTAACATGCCAAGAACATTGGAAAAGGCTAACATTTCCAGAGATTGTTCACTTGTACCAGTGTTTAAAATGGTAGCAATCCGTTTTAATGTCTAGCCTTTAATGGTCAAAATTAAACATCAATCCTCCAGACTGGGGTCATTCAAAAACTATCTGCAACAGGTAAGATATTAAGTGCTCATAACTTTCCTTAGAAACCCCACTTCATAAGATTTGAACCATCCCTTTGAGTTGAAACAAGGAAAAATGGGTTTAGAGTCTACCAGCCCTGTTTAGTCCACTTTAATCGAACTCTAGGCCGTTTGTCTAGAACGTTTGGTTTGTTTGGGGAGGTGTGAATGCACAATCGAACTCTGATGAGGATCAATGAAGTGAACTCTGGTCTACCTCAGGGTGCATTCACACCAGCCCCGTTGTCCCGAACTCTAGCTCGTTTGTCTAGGAAGTCCGGTTCGTTTGGGGAGGTGTGAACTCGCCATCGCTCTCTGTCACGGAACAAAACGGCGAACTCTGGCCCGGGCTAAAACCTAGGTCCGGTCCGGTAGAAGAAAACTCGAGCGCGGTTCGAGTACAGTGTGAATGAACGGGCACCGCGCCGCAAGCAGGAAGTGGACTACAACGCCGGGTAAACAAACACGCATTTCTCTTACCTCATACGGAGCTGTCGGCAGTTGTGTGAAAAACATTCTCCATGGTCTTCTGCCTCGATATCTTCAGCTCATGCTGAGTCCACGAAATCCTAAAAACGCGAAAAATTTGACGCCACTCCGTTTTTGTTGTATTTCCAGAAAAAGAAGCAGAAGAAGTGTCTTCTTCAGAGGTTTTTGTGTCGTTTCCTTCAGTAGTTCTTGGTGCAGCGCCACCACAGGTGAGGGGGGGGGGGAACAGGTTGCCTCATCAGTGCAGTGTGAACGTGAACCACACCAGCTGAAAATGGAAACAAATGTCATGAATATCGGTCACTGATTGAACCGAGTTCACCAGACAGGTGTGAAAACACCCTTAAAGGGGGAGGGCTCAGGAAGCCTATGTGCTGTTTTCCCAAGTGACTAAAAAACAACTGGAAACGACTTCCGAACATCTGCACCGCCACGTTTTATGACCGTGCTCCTCCTTACAACCCAAAACAAAGATGTGAGCAGCAGATTGCAACATTTCTCCCTCCTGAAGTTCTTACTGAGCCACGTGGGCAGGTGCTGATAACACTTTCAGGTTAAAACATGATCTGCAAGAAATGCTTATTTAAATAAATAAATACATGCAGATTGATTTTATTCAGCACGAGCTGCGTTTTATTGACGAGCCTTCACATAAAACTCGAGCTCAGGAGAGATTGCATCAGTTAAAGAAAGGGCCTCCTTGCTGGCGCAGACTGGGGGGGGTGGGGTGCGCGCGCGCGCCGCGGCGCACACTGGGAGGAGAAAAGGAGGAAGGGGGGGTTCGGGAACCGTCTTTGTCCTCAGCCAGTAGTTGAGCTCACACAACTGGAGAAGCTCGGAGCCTCCTGTGAGGAGAAGAAACGTGAATGGGGTGATATTTACCGGAGGGCTGCTTCAAGAACCGACAGAACTTAACGGAGACAGAAAAACAGCTGAAGGTAAAAAAAAAAAAAAAACCCAAACGTGGCGGCTCCGGCAGCGCCACAACACCCATCCTCAACAAGCGATGCTTTTCATGCTTCACATGTAACTCTCATTATTGTAAACTGTAATAAACGGCTTTAGTTTTGTGTTAAAGCAGCTAAAAAAAAACAACCAAACAGCTAAAAGTGCGTAAATGTGTCTTTAAACGCCAGCTGAAGTTTACGCGCACAAGCTGGTGCCAATCAGAGCTGATTAAATCCAGAAAACGGCTCTCAACATGTAAAATTATTATTATTTACTGGTTTATTCTGACCAAATTACGTCATTACCTTTTTCATTGTGGTTTTTCAATTTGTGTGTTTGTTATAAAGGAATGTTCTGGAATCCCATCCTGATCCCCCTCTTTAATTAAACCCACACACTATCCTTTGAAACATGTTTTTTTAAGTAGTATTTTTCATATTTTTATTTAAATTTCTTTTTATATGTAATTTGTGGGTATAATATTACGTAGCACGAGCCTGTGTCGTCATTTGGCACGAGACATATTTTCCCCTCAGCATGCTCTTCCCAATGGGTTTACTTCTTCTTGTTTAATTAATGGAAATGCAGAATACTAAAAAATTAAACTAATAATTTAGTCCATTTTTATGATGACTTTCACACTGTTTGAAATATTTGTCTTCCAATATAAATCCAGTTTTTTGTCTGAGGGAATGAAGGGCGGATCGGATGGAATCAGATTTTCTGAGTATTTTCAGCACGTTTGTCCAAACGTAAGCACTCACTTAGATCATCCTTTTAGTTTTCCTTCCTCAGACCAGGGGCCCCTCGGCCACAGGGCTTCGGCTGCAGAGGGATTAACTCTAACCCATCTCCCAGATGTTAGGGGATGGGGGGGCACAAAGGCCCCTCTGTTCTGCAGGGCTGGGCCAAAACTGAACCTCTGCAGTTTGGAAACGGACTGAAAAAGTGTCAAGTGCCACAAACGGGTCCATGCTGCCTCCGTGGAGCCACTAACACAGAAGAGGTTTGGAGAAAGTGGAAAAGATGGCGCTGCTAAAATGGAATTGTCCACATTTTTAAAAAGATCTGTTTTCCAATGCGCATTTCTGACTTTCTGACCTGTCAGGAGTTCAGATAACCTGAGTGGGTTCAGGAAGAAACGGGTACAAAGTGGAGATGTGGGGAAGAAAAGCTTTAGCTGCCGGGAGGTGACTTTAAACTTTTGTCACCTCGCAGCATGTCGGACTCTGGTGATGCATTAATTTATCCTTAACCTTCTTTATCCCAATTTAAACTGTTCTACGTTTTATTTCTTTCATTCAATTCAATTCAACCTTTTCTTTATACAGGTTAGTGTCAATGAGCCACAAGGACTTATTTACAATTTACTTTTATTGCTCATTTATTGCCCTTGCTTGGTGATCTAAGCCCTAATTTGAACCAAACAAGTAGAAAGATCCATATCGGGTCCCTGATGTGCAGATGTCTGGTCCGTGTGCATCGTTGGAAATCAGAGCAGCTAATGATGAATATACAAACACTTTTTTGTGTTTTGGTTAATAAATAGCGCATTCTTAATGCTTCAATAAGTCAACGTGTTCGCTTAAACTTGGGAAGAACTTGGAACATTTTAAAAAGAGCCTTGTTGGTTGGAGCTTTTGTTGCGTCTTGGTACGCACACAGGCATGGCCAATTGCTGATTATTTGAAAAGTGGCAAATATCACCAACTAAATCAGTCCGTCAAACATCTGGGCTCTGGTTAGATCATAGGAATATACACTAGGTTAATCAGTGGCTACAAAGTCTGTGTAAAGTGTTTTTTTTTTTAAAAACTGCAAAAGTACAATATGGGGGGAAAAGGATCCAGCACCTATGGTGTTGTAGAAATCTCTTTTATAGCACGTGGCCTGAAATGTAAAACTTTAAAACCTCCTTATGAAAAAGAATGTAAGCCACATGTCGGATCAAACTGGAGTGGGGGAAAAAAATCCTGTTCTAATCAGCAGTTATTAAGGTCAGCATCAGATTAAATCCGATTCTGCATCGCTCTTTAAAACAGCATTTTGACTGGAACTGACATATTTTGGTAAACAACATGGCGTGACCTGCTACAAGAAAACGAGGACGCCTCGTCTCCCTCGCTCTTTGTGCGATCCTAAGACTCGAGATGACTCAACAAATTGTGTCAATTGGGCGGCGGCGACGCTTATTAAAATGTTTTGCGTTCCAGCTCCAACCTCGGGTGTGTGGTTATGTGGAAAATTGACCATAAATTAAAGAGTTTTTTTTTTTTTTTAGTTTTGCTCTTTAAAACCAATCCGTGCATATTTAAAGTGTCTAAACTGAGTATGAGCAGAGTTTAACAGTCTGCCTGAATCCTTTTTTACTCTTCGCATAATGGCAGATGTGTTCTCAAGATTTGTTTGGAGTCCTAAACAGTCCAGCTGCTAAAACCCTTAGTTGTCCTGTATGGTGGTAGTTTGTAAAAAAGACATGTAAAATTGAAGAAAGTCAGCAGAAATGAGCTGCATGGAGTTAAAAAAAAATGTTGAGCAGAAAGATAAATAACTTGTTGTTGGCCTGGGAAATAAAATGTGTTTTTTGGCCATCGTTGTGATCTCTTAGGGGAACTTCCTACGCACACTAGTTGTGATTTATCCATCTTGGCAATACGTCTTGACACGTTTCGCAGGTTAAATCCAAAGATAAAAAGGCTCTTAACTGACCCGTTTACTAAGATCCCCAAAAGTTAACTACGCCTCTGCTTTGAGTATCAGGTTTTTGAAGATCTTGCAGCCTCCATGACGTTGCGTTGACGCACGACTGTTGGCACTCGCAGCTTAGGCGTGTGCAGGTAACGATCCAGAAAGCTGCAGATTTACAACAGAACATTTGTTGCGTTTTCATTACCAAAAGTCGTCGGAGTACGGTGTTGACTAAATGCAATCAGTTGGGTGGAGATTGGTGGAGCGATGTTTCACCACTTCTTGGAAGGGCGGATCAACAGGAAGTTAATTGTTTGGGGTTTTTTAGAAATGTGTGTTGATGTTTATTGGCACAGAAGGAAAGTGGCGTGTGTGCTCCTAATGAAATGCAAACATTAGAAAAATGGGTTAGACTGGTAAAATACTGATTATGGATTTGGTAGACTGGTCACTGGTCAGTGCCACGGTCTTTTAATCCTCTTGAGCCCAGGTTGTGTCAGGAAGGGCGTCTGGCTTAAAACTAGGCCAGATGTCTCGTGCTAGTCGACTCGCTGTGACCCCTGCAGTGGGGAGCTGCTAAAGGACGAGACCTGAAGATGAATTTCATGAATAGGCACTAAATTAACTTTAATCCTCTGTGGTTTTAAACAAAGGTGACTGTCACACATCAGAATCCCGGGGTTGAGATGGTGTAGAGGTAGGGCAGCTGATTTGGGACCAGAAAGTTGCAGTGCAACTCCCTGCCATGCCCACATGCCACGGTGTCCTTGAGCAAGACGCATAATCTCTTAATTGCTCCTGGGTGCTTGCATATCTGCCCAGTCTCCACCTGGGTGTATCTCACGTGTGATGGGTTAAATGCAGAGAACTAACTTCATCGTTGTATGGGAACATACAATGATGACACATAGATGGCACTTACATTTATCTCTGATTTTTCTGTCGCAGGTCAGGTTTACTTTGTCATTCCAGTCAGATTTAAAAGCTGTGAGATGAAACGGTGCCTCGCAGCTTGAGTCTGTACCGAACGTCTCCAAACAAGACAGACTGATTCAGTACAAAGAATGCGCTACTGGCACAAAGTTCAACCAGTACCAGTCAGATATGAGCTGTCAAAACAAATGATCAGTGGTCCAACGTGTTTTTAAAGGAGGAAGCATGTGCGAAGTATCTCTTCAGATTACACGTACCCTTTCACACATTTTTAAACGTTCACTGATACTGTGCCTTTTTGACTTGAACTACAGCAGTGTGGTTTTGTAAGAGTGAATCATGGTTCCTTGAAGTACATTATGGGTTTAGTCACAGATGGTGTAAAACCACAAGAGCCTTTTTTAATTTACGAGACTTTAAGATGCGAACAGCGTTTAAACGTGAGTTGGTGAAAGTGTCAGAGCAGATTGCACAAATTCAGCTGAGTGACTGTTTTGCAAGGACTGACTGTTTAATCGCGGCTCTTAAGTTGGTAATTAGTCGCAAATCGGTTTATTTTATTTAAATTCTTTGCAGAATAACAAATCTTTCCTGGTAGGTTAAGAACATAAATCATTCAGAATTTCAGTCTTCAGGAAATGTTGCCTCAACATGCCTCTCTCAGTAGGAAGTGTAGTTTCTAACTGGGATAATTGTATTGTAAGTGTGTAGCTCTACCTTGTGGCCGTCTTATATAATCACAGTCGAGGCAAAAAGTGCACTTAAATGAATGCAATGTAGTTAGTACTTTGCAAAAGTCATGGGTAAGTTCTTGTTTTGTTATATTTCACCTCAAATGAGCCAGAGTTTTGTAACTGGCTTATCTCTGTGGGCCACCAGTAGAATCTTAGACATTGGACAAATGGGGAAAATGGAGATGGAAGTCCATGGTTTAAGAAAAGTAACATGTCAGTTATCCAACAAAAAAAGTTTTTTCTAAATTTTTATTTATTTGTTTGATCGGTTTTCATGATGTTTGTAGTTTGTACTTTCTAAGACCGAAAGTTGGACCCCTGCGCTTCAACATGCGTGCGTCCTTATTTTGTCAGTGACCCGTTTACTGATGCAGAAAACTGGGAACATTGTCTAAATATTTCCTTTTTCTCTCCACAGGATTTGACCCTGTCCCGCAAGCAAAATGAGCTGGAGCTTCCTCACGCGTCTGCTGGATGAGATTTCCAATCACTCCACCTTTGTGGGTAAAATCTGGCTCACCCTCCTCATCGTGTTCCGCATCGTGCTGACGGCGGTCGGCGGAGAGTCCATCTACTACGATGAACAGAGCAAATTTGTGTGCAACACGGCGCAGCCTGGTTGTGAGAATGTGTGCTATGATAATTTTGCGCCTCTTTCGCACATTCGCTTCTGGGTGTTTCAGGTGATCATGATCACCACACCGACCATCATGTACCTCGGGTTTGCTATGCACAAGATCGCCCGCATGGACGACGATGACTATGGTTCTCGGCACAGGAAGAAGATGCCCATAGTGAGCCGTGGCGCCAACCGGGACTACGAAGAGGCGGAGGATAACGGGGAGGAAGATCCCATGATCCAGGAGGAGATTGAGCCAGAAAAAGAAAAGGAAGTTGTTGTGGAGAAGCCCAAAAAGAAGCACGATGGCCGACGTCGCATCAAGAGGGACGGTCTGATGAAGGTCTACATTTTTCAGCTGCTATCGCGTGCCGTGTTTGAGATCTCATTCCTGTTTGGGCAGTACGTTCTTTATGGGCTGAAGGTGGAGCCATCGTACGTTTGCCAACGCGCGCCGTGCCCGCACTATGTGGATTGCTTCATCTCTCGTCCGACTGAGAAAACGATCTTCCTGCTCATCATGTATGCCGTCAGTGCTTTGTGCCTGCTCTTTACCATGCTGGAGATCCTCCATCTCGGCATCAGTGGAATCCGCGACTGCTTCTGCACGCCACGACCTCGCGCTCCTTCCCGCCACTTGGCCCTAGGCAGCCAGAAATCCTCCATGAGCCGTCAGCCATCGGCGCCTCCAGGTTACAGCACAGCTCTGAAGAAGGACCCATCTGGAAAAATGGGCTTCAGGGATAACCTGGGCGACTCTGGTCGCGAGTCCTTCGGGGACGAGGCGTCGTCTCGGGAGCTGGAGAGGCTTCGCAGGCACTTAAAACTGGCCCAGCAACATCTGGATTTGGCGTACCAGAATGAGGAGGGCAGCCCGTCGCGCAGCAGCAGCCCAGAGTCAAACGGCACTGCAGTGGAACAGAACAGGCTAAACTTTGCCCAGGAGAAGCAGAGTAGTACCTGTGATAAAGGTAATGTTCGTTGTCATTCGTGCTACTTTCATTATATGTTATTCAGGTGAGATGCTTAACTGCTCAAATCCTCTTCACAGGTCTTCGTGCATAGGCTCGCAATCAGTTCACAGGAGGAGCAGTGAGGACAAAAGGGGAAATGAGCAGGGAGTGCGTGTGTGTATGCGTTTGTGAATTGGTCGCCTGAGGTGGATGAAGACGGCCCGAGCCTTCCAGTGTTGCGGCCAGCTGTGGTCGAGCATCAAAAAAAAAAAGAACAAGAAGTGACCGTCTCAACTCGGCAATACTTGAGGCGACAGCCTGTCTGAAGACCCGAAGTGCTTTCTACCTGCCGCCGTGGATCAAGAATGGTTGACATGGATTTCTCCCTCAGGGCAGCTATATTTTTATACATATGAATATTTTATCAGGACCATCGAGTTATATTAATTTTTCTTCTGTTTTAGTTTGTGAATCTCAGTTTTGCCTTGGATTTAAACTGGAACTTCTTTTTTTTTTATGTTGCGTTTTCAAAGTAAGACCAAGCCAGTTTATTTTTGTTATTTTAGTTTTACACTTTGAGAGTGGGTGACAGCAGGGACATGAATAAACAAAGGTTAAACAAAGCATCTCTGAATGAAAGTTACTGGCCTTGTTGTCTTCCTTGTGAAGACTCAACAAGGTATCACAAGGGCTTATTGATGCCGCCCCTTCACTATTTATCCTTCACACTTCTGGGACCTGTACTATGAATCGGGCAGCATGGGGAGCTATTGGAATTAGCATGCAGTGGAATATGGACTGATTACCTGCTCTGGGCCAGTTTGCTCCGTTAAAAATATCGGCCTCTTGCATTCGTTTAAAAATCAAAATCCTCCGGTTTTTCCTGATGAGCATCCACAAGTCCCAGATTCTCAACAGAGGGGTCATTTCTTCTGAAACTTGCTCATCTGTGGCTAAAGCTGATGTTGGTGGTCCCCCCCACCCCCCCTTTTTTTTTTAAACCTATCCAGCATTAAACTGTTCTTACAGATGTTTTTTTCTGCCACTTCAGAACCAGACTACTTCACTGCATTCCTTTTTTCATTTTTTTTTTTGTACGTTCCTTTTCCAAAAGTTTAAAATTCTACAAGCTGCACCCCTGATTGAGCTCTTGCCTTGTTTTTGTTAAGCTTTTAATACCCACACTTGGACTTTCTTATTCTTGGCTGCTACATTTTTTTTGCCTTTTTATATATTTAGTAATGTAGTTATTGTCGTGAAAAATATGCAGCCATTGATCCATATTTGGGATTGGTCACGTGGCGCTGACGGCTTTTTTTTTTGTGTGTGTGTGTACTTGTATTCATGACTCGTAATCATTGTTTTCGTGCTGTAGTCGGGGTTGGTTGAGCCTGGTTGTACAATATTCAGGCTATGGTGAACCTACTTCACAGTACAGGCCTTTCGATGGTAACTGGAACACACTTGAGGCGCCTTTTGTCCAAAGGAACAAACCTGGGTAATGCTTGAAGAAAACAAACATGTAACTTTTGATTATTGTCTTTTTTTTTAATGTCTGATACTGTTTAACTTTCTTGTTATGCTCTTTTTGATGTGGCAGATTTATTTTATTTCAATGATATTCATAAGTCTCTGTTACCTGAGACTGGATTTTGAGAGTGGACTGGGTGATCTGAACAGGATTTGGTACAGTTTTAGGTTTAAGAGCAGCAGTTTTTCATTCCATGCTTCCTCGTTGCTCAGTTTCTAAGGTACCATTAGGTGTTTACTTTTTCAGTTTATGCCCGTTCAGTTATGAGTTGAGTTTATGTCCTGAAAGTGCTGATTTCTGTAGCTGTTTGCTCCAGAATTTAAACGATGGTTACAAACTAATCAGTTCAATGTGAATTTAATGCCTTGAGTGCACTCTTTAAGATGCCGACTTTTTGTATTCTGACACCCACAGTGCCATTTGTACCAACTCAAATACTGTCATCTCAGATATTTTTGGCCAATGTTTTTGTACTTTTTTATACTTTTGTATTGACTAGTACTTTGTGATTTAGTTTTTAAAATAAATTTTCCAACTTGTTCATGTATGTGGTCTTTCTTTGGTGTATTGGCTGTTGGGACATTGTTGGCTAATGTTTGATATGCATTTACGGAAAACGGACGTTCTTAAGTTAAAACTCAAGCAGGTTCTAAACATTATGCCTTTATTGCTCCATCAAATTAGATATTTTTAAATAAACCTAAGTTTTGTGGATGCAACAAGAGCAAATTCAACTATTGTTGTTTAGTCATTAATTTACAAAGTTTATTTGTGTGCATTACAATATAGAACAGTCGGTTTGCTTCATCTGCTAATCACGACTTGAATACGAAGGGTTATTATAGGTTTCAATTAGTGTTCATCATCCTGACCTTTTTTTTTCTGGGCGTAAATCCCTTTTTTAATGATTTGTTCTGGTATCGGATGCTGTTCAGCAGGAAGGATTTTTACTGAAACCTTTTTACTTTTGGACATTTGTTATGATTGATAACCATAGCAAGGTGATTTTCTACAACCAAGAGCAGCTGATTAACATCTCAAAAGCTCAATATCAACTACAGCCCTGAATTCCAGATGAGTTGAAAAAGGAGATGCCGTGGATGCATTTCCATCTACCTGGCGGCGGTGCTTGAGTACTTGACTGCCGAGATCCTGGAGCTGGTGGTAGACGTGACTCGTTACAATGGAAAGACCGGGATCATTCCCCAACACCTGCAGCTGGCTGCAACGACAAGCTCAACAAGCTGCTGGGAGGAGTTCTGCCCAACATTCAGGTGGTCCTGATGCCCAAGAAGACTGAGAAACCCACCAAGTCCAAGTAGACAGATAAAGGTCTGCAGCCAGTTTCATCAGATCCGCTGTAAGACAGACCGCTACAAGAGATCCTTCCTGCCCACAGCCATTAGCATCTATAACAACTCCAATGAAACCAGGATGATGAGGTACATTTAATGTTCCTTTGGGATTAATAAAGTAGTTATGAATAAGCTTTACAATTGTCTTATTTGGATGGAAAAATCCTGCAATGATTTACCATTAAGCACTGATTGAATCAGCAGATGTAAATATTTCTGCAGAAACGCTGGAAAGTTAATCCTGTGCAAATAATCTAATTACACTTGAGGTTTTCCTTAGGGGTAACAAGAATGGATAAGATTAGGAATGAGAATCAGGGGTACAGCACACGTTGAACATCTGGGAGATAAAAGTTAGATAAGCCAGACTGAGATGGTTTGGACATGTCCAGAGGAGGGACATTGGTAGAAGGATGTTAGAAATTCAGCTGCCAGGAAAAATGAAAAAGACGAGCTACATGGATGCAGTTAAAGAGGACATCGAGGTAGTTGGAGTGAGGATGCAGAGGATGGAATGAGATGGAGGAGGACTCGCTGTGGTGACCGCTGAAGAGGGAAAAGCTGAAATAATACACTTCTGAATTAGACATGTTAACATTAACTTTAGGCAGCACGGTGGTGTAGTTGAGCTGCCTCCTCGCAGCGAGCAGATCACCCCGGTTCAAATCCCGGTCCGGGGGCCTTTCTGGGTGGAGTTCGCATGTTCTCTCCGTGCATGCGTGGGTTTTCTCCGGGTACTCCGGTTTCCTCCCACAGACCAAAAACATGCATGCTAGGCTGATTGGTAACTCTGAATTGTCCCTAGAGTGAGAGTGAATGGTCGTTTGTCTCTATGTGTCCCTGTGATGGACTGGAGACCTGTTCAGGGTGTCCCCCGCCTCTCGCACAGTGATGGCTGGACATGGGCACCAATGACCCCCAAAAAAGGAAGAAGCAGGTAAAGATAATGGATGGATGGAACATTAACTTTAGTCCTATATGCAACTTAGCCACAATAACTACTGTTGGCAAACCAAAGGTGGCCTTTTCTTAATATTTAAAAGTTTTTAGCGTTATGAGTTTGATGTTGCGCCTTCTCGTGCAAGTGATGCAAATGTGATGCAAAATTAATTTTACATTTATTCATGATGTTCAGCATAGAAAAATAATTTGGAATGCTGATATACAACTCCATTGTAAATTACTAAATAAGATTAAAAAAAAAAAACGTATTGCTTTGTAAAGTTTAAATCAAAAAGGCAGATTTTTTTCAAGACTTTATTGAAAATAAACGGAAGATATAAGATTTACAGTGGTTTGGGTATGATAGAGCACCAGTAGTCAATAAAAATGAATCATGTTTTATTTGTTTAATGGGCATTGCTTTAACATGCAGAGTTCAATTTTAAAAAGTAAACTATCAGCTGAATTTACTCATGGAGGCTTTAATTAAATGTTTTTAGTCTATTTTGAATGACTTACTAAACTTAAGAGTAAGTATTTCAATTCACTTTAACTTGGCTTTGTGTGTAAATGCATTTTATGTTGAATTATTATAAGTGTAAATGCAGTTAGAATTTTCTCTCCAGCTGTACCGAGTCAACATTTACATTTTTCTTTGAGCGTCTTTTTGTGAAAACGAAGCCGATGGTTAAACAAATGGCTGCAGTTGCTGCAACAATCAGCAGAGCAAACGTAGCGTTAAGTCCAGTCTCAGCTTCTTCATTGGAGAGGCTCAGACCCAGGAACCTCACAGGGGCCTCAGTGACAGGGACAGTTGTTGCTGGAAAAATAAAGTATACAATATGTTCAGTATAACTTTTAGTAGTACCAAACACAATTTTGGCTCAATGTCTAAAAAAGTGACTGATTTATAACAATTTTGGGTTGGCTAGGATTGATTAGTTGTAGCAGCCATCTTGAATAACTAACTTCAAAAGATAATCAGTTGTAGAAGTAAATTCAATGTATTAGCTTCTGATAGTTTCATTAAAACATGTCCATTAGTTCATGAGATTTTGTGCTAGCATACATGCAAATGAACACAGTTATAATCACATCAATTACATGACTGTCAAATAAGAAGCTAAAACAAATTAACTATCACAACTAATGCACGTCATGGATAGAATTTTTATGCAAAGCCTGGAAATAGCAGAAAAGTGTTAACTGGCTCTGTCCAAACAGGAACACATGGACTTTAAATAATCTCTAAAACTCAATAGCACACCTCAGTTTTCAATATTTGGTTAATTTATTAGGGTGATTGTCAATAGTCATTCAGTTGACTGCCCCATCAGGCACAACAAAGAAGTGCTTTTTCAACTTTAACGCCACTCAAAGCCATGAAGATTTCCCTGCAACTCAACTCGTTTCATTTTTCACTTTAGTTAGAGCAGGGATTTGAGCAACTCTGAATAAAAACAACAAAGTCCATGTTCAATAATCCAGGTATACAATCTAACATTTTCTGAATAAATTTACCTTCAGGTTCAGGCTTCAAAGAGGCATTAGGTTCTGCAGGGTCAGGGAAACCATTAGAGCTGATGATGGTAGCGTAGGTGGACACAGAGGCCTTGGCGATTCGAGGTACGTTTGGGTTTGAATGGTTGACATAGTAAAAGCCAAATCTCTCAGAAAAACCAGTTGCCCACTCTAGGTTGTCCATAAGTGACCAAGCTGTGTATCCACGGATATCCACATTATCCTGCAAGTAAGCTGCGAGAACAAATATCCCCCTTAAAACTGATACCACATTTTCAGTCATTGTTTCATGTTTCTTAATGTCAATTTAAGATGGTCAAAGGTCACATTGTGTTTATTTGACTGCCCTCAGGCAACAAACATATTTAATGAAACTGATTTGATACCTTTGAGCACTTGGTTGATGTATTTTTCATAGTAGTAAGTCCTGTGAATATCATTTAAATTTACAGGTCCTCGCTCAGAAACTCCATTCTCAGTGATGATGATTGGGGGATTTCCATACTCCTCCTTTATGAAGTTTAAAATTCTACGGAATCCAAATGGTGTCATCTTCAACCAGCTAGAACCTGAATCCAACCAGGTGTGATCAACGACGGTCCCTGCGCCCCTGTGACAGTCAGTCGTTTAGACATTTAAGTGACAGTCAGATATAACATCATAATTTCATTTCAATAAAATTTAAGAAAATGCAATAAACCTCCCCTGAAACAAATTAAGGAAAATATTTCTTTGTCCGAAAATGGTGCTTGCTTACCTGTCTGCATCATAATGCTGAAGATTTCCAAAGTTCACAGGGAAAGCCAGAACTGTGGTATAGTGGTTAAACCCAAAATAGTCATAGGTCCCTTTAATTCTCTTAATCTCATCTGGGGTAAACTTTGGCAGCCTAGAGAATTGTAAGTGAAACATGAATTTCAAACATAAAGACCTCATCTTCAGTTTTTAAGAATAAATGGCACAAATTTCAGTCAATCTCAAAATTCAAGAATCTGAGACATGTGAAATAGAAAGTGGAATTTGTTTAAAACCAGTTCAATGAATTTCATTATCTTCCACTTGTTGTGGAGTCAGGTCACGGGGGCAGCAGCTTCAGCAGGAAGGTCCAGACATCTCTTTCTCCAGCTCTTCTGGGAAGACATGCATCCCCAGCTCAACCAAGAGAGACTGTCTCTATTGAGTGTCCTGTGTCTTTCCCACAGTCCCCTCTCAGTTGAACATGTCCAGAGTACTTCCCTAGAGCCAAGAGCCAAGCCAATTTGATGGCCTCAGGCCATCTAACCGTCCTCCCTCTGTCCCCTGGCTGCATTTCGAAATCCTGTCCATAAAAGTTATGAACTAATCTGTGACAAGTAGCCCTGGCCGAGTATAAACTCCTATCTTGATCTCATACACCCCAAGAACCCTGCACCCCAGAGCTTTTTACTACCTCTGCAACATCAGCCCCAGTTAACGATGGATCAACTCCACTTACAAATAACCAGTTATAAATGCATTTCATAGCAGGCAAATAAACCTTGGGGATAATTTTCACATTACCTTGATTTTGGCAAACCAGCAGCAAGACTGCGCTCTTGAATGATCGTCTTCATCACATCACTGTAGTCACCATTGTATATGGGATGGGCAAACCAGCCAATATAGAACTGTACAGAATAATACAACAGTTTTCTCTTCAGGCAGAAGAAAAGGTTTTGTTGAAAAACTAGAGAACTTGGCATACCTGTACTACACGTCTTGCAGCGTCAATGTCCTCTTGCTTATAGGGGTTTCTTGGCTCCGACCAGTCAGAGTTGATTGTGATGGAAATGATTCCCTTCTGTTCAGCCCGATATTTGTCATTGTAAAGGTGCCAGACCTCAGCATGAGCTTTAATAAGATTGTGGCCGACAATGTAAGGAAGAGTGCCTGGGCGAAAACTGATCCCTAAATGCAAACATAATGTAAAATACAAGTTTTTGTCAGCATCACACTGTAAAATCAAGTTTTTAAGAACAAGTTTGCATATTTGCATACCTGGGGCAGCTACTCCATAGCCATGGCCCACCATTGCAACGTTGTACGGCTCATTAATAGTGACCCAGTGTTTTACTTTGTGACCAAGACGGCTAAAAATAAGGTCAGCATAATCCCTAAATTTACCAACAATAGCATCATTCTCCCAGCCCCCAATGTCCTGCAGTGCTTGTGGAAGGTCCCAGTGGTACAAAGTGATCTTACAGAAAAGAAAAAAATGTTTTCAGGTATTTTCATTTAAGCATGTTTTCTGATGCTAACAAGAATTAGACTTACATGAGGTTGGATGTTTGCAGCAAGTAGTGCATTCACTAGTCTGTCATAGTAACTTAGACCAGCTTCATTTATGTGACTGGTAGTGCCATCAGGAAGCACCCGTGGCCAGGAAATAGAGAAACGATAATGGGTCACCATAAGTTGCTTCAAAATGGCAACATCCTCGTTTATTTTATTGTAACTGTCACAAGCTATGTCCCCATTGTCATCATTAAACACTTTGAGAGGAGTGTGAGCAAATTTATCCCATATACTAAGACCTTTTCCATCGGCTCTCCACCCCCCTTCAATCTGTAAAAAGTACATGTAAAAAGATAAAGAAAAGTGCATGAAAATGATTTTTTGATAACGGTTTAATAAAGGATGCTTCATTTACCTGGTATGATGCTGTTGCAGTACTCCAAATGAAATCCTTTGGAAACCGCCCATAAATCACCTTCTCATCCTCTGTTATTGGAAAACCATTGTTCTTCATGACTTGATAGTAGTAATGAGCTGAAAATTTGGGTGTTCTTGGCTGATTTGGGTTATTAAAGTCCACATGGTGCAACCCAAACCCAATTTTGTAGCCATTTAGCCATTCAAAGGAATCCATGAGTGATGTTGCCGTATAACCTTTCACTTTTACTCCATCTAGGTCGTTGGCTGTAATTTTAATAAATACACAAATATAAGTAAATGATCAAGCTTTAAATTGGTATGAAAGCCAAAGAATATAGCCTCAAATATTGGTGTACCTTTAAGAGCTTCATTAATATAGGCCTTGTAAAAAAATACTCTGTCAGTGTCATCCCAAGTTGTTTTCGCTTCTGTAGCCACTCCATTTTCAGTGACATAGATTTCTGGGTCTCCATACTCCTCCTTGATCCAGTTGAGGAGTCTTCTCAAGCCCCATGCTACAGCTCTTTGATTTTTGATTGCTGTACCTGGTGAATCAGTTTCAGCTGCTTCTGAAAAGTCCCAGTCATATTGATAGGATGCTGGAGAAAGCCGACTTGTAACATGGCTCACTTTCTTTGTAGTGTAATGATTTACACAGAAGACATCAGCAGTGCCTTTGATAAAGTTCTTTTCCTCATCTGTGAAGGAAGGGAGTCTTGACTCGGAAAGACCTTGGAGTTCACTTTTGGCTCTAATTTGTGATTTCATTGCCTCTGGATAGTCACCATTCTTGAAAATAGGGTGGGCAAACCAACCTAGTTGAAACTGCATGGCGCGGTCAGCAGCTACAACTTCCCGAGGAACATTAACATCAATAGGTTCAACCCAATCTGCATTGAGGGCAATGGACACCAGACCGCCTTGAGAGGTACGGTACTTGTCATCATAAGTATGGTAAGCTTTGGCGTGGGCTTTTATTAGGTTGTGGGCAACTTTGTATGGCACAATTCCTGGATTCTTAACATTTGGTGGGATCTGTCCAAGTCCATATCCAAGCCATGCAATTGTCTGAGGCTGGTTGAGGGTGATCCAGAATTTCACTCTGTTGCCAAAGGTGGTATAACAGAAATCACAGAAGTCATTAAAAATGTCAATCATCTCTACACTCTCCCAACCACCAAGATTTTGCAAACTTTGAGGAAGGTCCCAGTAATAAAGTGTGACCACTGGAGTAATATTATATGCCAAGAGGCCATCAATAAGTTTGTTGTAATAGTCAACACCTTTCTGGTTCATAGAAGTGCGCCTACCATCAGGAAAGATTCTTGACCAGGACAAAGAGAATCTGTATGTTTTCACGCTTAGTGCTCTCAACATGTAGAGGTCTTCATCAAGTCTGTTGTAGCTGTCACATGCTACATTTCCATTAGCATTATCAGGAATATTGCCAGGCTTCTGAGTGAATGTGTCCCATACACTTGGTCCCTTCCTATCAGCATTCCATCCACCTTCAATCTGGTAAGCTGAAGATGAAATGCCCCAGGAGAAGTCCTGTGGGAAAGTGCCGTAATGATACATTTGTCTCTGGAATTTTGACTGATGGGAGAATTTCTCCCAAATGACCTTTGACAATGATGGGACCTCAGAGGGTGGGAGTGTGGTGAAACTGTGACTATGTGACATTCCTAAACCTTTGAAGACATGTTTACGTGATACAAAACCGTTTTGCTCAATAATTTGAGAGAAAACATATGCAGATTGTTTTGGCGTTCTGGGTCTGCCTCCATCTTCAAAATTAACATGGTGAAGACCAAATCTTTGACTGTAGCCTTGTTTTCCCTCAAATCCATCCATGAGAGACTGCACTGTGAATCGCTGCACATCTAGTCCATCTTTAATAATTGCTAAAAAAAAAAAAGAAAGAACAAAAGAAATGTAAGGCGTAAAAGATTTTTGAATTGGCTCTGATCTCTAAATGTGGTCACAGAGAAATTAGACACTAACCTTTCAGGGCTTCATTGATGTAACTTTGCATGTATTCTATTCTGCTGATGTCATTGAGGGTGTCACCACTATATTCTGTTGGCATCCCATTCCCAGTTATGTAGATGGGTACTTTGATAACTTTCAAGTATTCTTTTGCAATGTAGTTTAAAAGAGATCGAAGTCCCCACGGTGCAGAGTAGATCCAGTCAGAGGCTGTAGTAGACCACGAGGGGTCCACATGTGCCTCGAAGTCTCCCACTCCCTCAGGACCAGGGTTGCATCCTCCTTTACTGCTGTTTACCAAACGAGAGGTATAATGATTCAAACCAAAAAAGTCAGACGTTCCAAGTACCCTTTTGCTCTCTTCAGGAGTAAAGGTTGGGAGCACTGCCGGCACAGAGTCAGGACACTCTTTTCTCTTCTGTTCAATCTGATTTTTGAGAACTGCAGGATAATCTCCATCTACAAATATGGGATGTGCAAACCAGCCTAGCATAAACTGCAGGTAGCGATCTGCAGCTGTGACATCTTCAGGTTTGGAAGGGTTCACGGGCTGAGCCCAGTCAGAGTTCAGTGCAATACCTACTTTCCCTCCCTGTGAGTTCCTGTACTTGTCGTTGTAAACATGCCAGGCTTCGGCATGGGACTTGAGCAAATTATGAGTGACCTGACAAGGTAAAAACAATTTGTAATCTAATACTCCAGTTCAACAAATAAGAAAACAAACATTTGTTTATTGTCCATTTGTAGTGACTGCAGTACTTTACCTGATAAAAAGAAACAGCATAGTCCTTGATTCCAGGGGGGTGCTCACCAGTGCCATAACCAGCATGGCTGACAACCCATGGGCTACTGAATGTGTTCCAGGTCTTGACCCTATCTCCAAATCTGGCAAAACAGAAGTCTGCATAGTCCTTGAAAGCTTCAACAATGGATTCATTGGTCCATCCACCACTGTCCTGCAGTGCCTGCGGTAGGTCCCAGTGGTAGAGAGTAGCAACAGGTTGTATACCAGAGTCAATAAGAGTGTTGATGAGCTTGTCATAATACATTGTTCCTTTCTTTGACTGGCTGTCTCTGTGGCCTAAAGGGAAAATACGAGCCCAGGAGATAGAAAACTGGTAGGTATTGACTTGAAGGCCTCGCAGGAGGTAGACATCATAATCAACCTTGTTGTAACTGTCACAAGCTAGGTCAGCAGTCTGGTTTTCAAAAACCTGGCCGTCATGACCAAAATGATCCCAAATGGTCTCTCCCTTTCCACCTTCTAACCATCCACCTTCAACCTTGAAAGACTCTGTAGAGGTGGCCCATTGGAAGCCAGAGGGGAACGATTCCCTGAGGAACAGGTCTCGTTCAGCACTGGCTTGGGCTCCAAACTTTTGCCAGATGGTCTCATAGTTATTTGTGGATTTCACTTTTTTGATCAAATTTGAACGACTTTGACTGTTGAGGAGGGAAAAAAGGACAAAAAACGATCTGGTAAGTATGAAGTCAGTTGGACAAAGCATGGCTATGAAAAAAATAGTAAAAAATACGTACTCAATTGGAACATTATGTATGTCCAGCTCATCCAGCATATCCTTCATGTCACATCCAAGAAGATTCAAGTTTTCACTCTGTATAACTGAGAAATGTTTCAGACAAAATCAACAACATATTTCCGTTTAGTATATCTAGATGACTTTCGCACAGTGACTGATGGATTTGGGCACCCCAGACCCCCGTGACCCAAAAGGGAAGAAGCAGGTAAAGATAAAGGATCAATGGATTTCTAGATTAAGTTATTTACCAATTTGTACTTTCTTGTTTTGTTTAAGAGATCAACTAGAACCTTCAAGATAGGTAATTGTTCCGATCTTGTCACAATACAGCGTTAGTCACTATTTAAATAATATAAATTTACTGCAGGACAGGTTGTACAGTAAATATCATGTTCTACGGCACCTTACTACCTTGCACATCATTTTTCATGGAAAATTTTACAGGCCCATAATAAGAGTTGAACTGATCACTGTTTTGTAATGACACACCCTAAAAAAGTCATAACCTTTTATAGTTTTTTGATAATAAAAGTATTTGATATAGCACACTCAACTGATGACCCTGCAGCTCAAGCATACCATTCACTTTAAAATGCAGATAATTTGTTCAGGCATGGCTTTAAACAGTTTTATAAACAAAAAAACGTTATAGTTAGTCCGATTTCAGATTGTCCTGTTCCAATAATGTGTTCATGTCTGGATAGCCTTTTTGTATTGAACAGTAATTCAAGATATAACAAAAAGACCCACAGATATTATAAGAAAAAAATCCATCACAGCACAATTTTAGTTAATATTCTCTCTGGCCACAGTGCACTTTTATTTGATGCAGCAACAAATTAGCAGTAGTTAGTAAGTTATTAGTAGTAATTCAACAAAAATATGGCCAGATTTTCTGTGAGATTCTGATATTTTTTATCTGAAAGAGATGGAATATAAAGCATGCCACTTATAAATATTGTTCTATACAGTCTTGGTATATATTGCTCCTTCTGCACGTCTTCTGGTAAAAAGAGAATACATATTTTGTGAGCTGTAATGACACTTACTCTGCAGTAAATCTCCAAGAGGCTGATGTTGCTTCTGAAAGCAACCATAAATGTTCATCTTGTATATCAGGATGGGCAAGTTTCCACTGGATATCTACAATGTACCATCAAGATCATTTGGCAGCTGTTTAGTAGAATTTAAAAATAAAGGAAATACTTTTTTTTATTGATTAGTGTACAGTACCTGTAAGTTTTTCAACTCCATTGGGAAGTTTTCTGAGGAGTCACAGTTATATTCAATGTGAACTGACAAGAAATCAGCCTGTGCAGAACAAGAGATAAAACCCAAAATGTTATCACATGCATGTCTCTTGGAGAAAATAAAGCATTAAAATACACCCAGTCTTACTATTCTATAATGTCAGTGGAACTTAAGAAATTAGAACATCTTTAAACCCATCTGTAATTAAAAGTTTGAGTTTGTTTTCAGTATTTGCACTTTCTTCCAGAGAAAATTACAGTATATACAAACTTGTCATCTGAACCAGGCAGAAAAGTACTAAATCAGGTAGAAAATTTTTTTTTTCAAACCCATTCAATTGAATTTAAGCTTTTATTTTATTTCCATACTTTAATGTGCAAAAATATTTATTTTATAGGTATTTGCAGTTTGGGTAACCTAATGTGCAATCGACACATATGGTACATAATTTCTTTGAAACGTTCAGCTGCCTTCCTTGAAACTCTTCTCTAAAAGATTAAATTGATATATTGTGACAACAGCTTCAGCCTCGCTGTTCTCTGAACTTTTACAACAATTATACAAGACACAACTTACAGATGTTGAAGCTTTAATATGGGAAAGTTTAGCCAAATCTCTTGCTTTCAGCCCAAATGACAGATATCTCCCTGCAAATAAATCAGAAAAAAATACTATCAATATTTCAACAGAACGTGTGCTTTTAGTCAAACCAGCTTTTATTACCAGAAATACACTTCTTGTGCAAACTTATACATGCAAATGCTTGAAATATTATTATTTTATGGATCTCACGTGGACTGATCCCTGGCATATGCATGATAATGTGCAAATGCAGTCTGTGCTATCAGCAACGTAGTAAAAGGTTTCTGCATCAGTTGGCCATAAAATAATCAGTTTTACTAGTGGGGACTTACAACACAGAAATTATTTAAAGAACTGGGCAAGCAAATTATGTTTAGAAGGCAGTGACAACGGTCTTTAAAAAAAAGTCTAAAAATAATAATTTGTTCAGAAAATTACTTGTGACAATCATCAAGCAACTCACCTTTATCAGGAAAGTTTTGATGGTAAAACTGGTAAAGGTTCTCACTGAGCTGGACGATACTTTGCAGAACACTGGGCGCATCTGTAGCCTGCACTTCTTCTAAGACTCCATCCAAATCACTAAATGTGACCCACGAACGAGCCAATGGGGCAAATTCTTTGAAGGCAAACTCAGCATACTGCTGAAACCTCTCTACCAGCCCTTGGTTCTCCCAGCCTCCATACCTGGACTTCAGTGCAACTGGAACTGTGGATCCATGAATGACAACAAGAGGCTGAAGGCCCACCTCCAGCAGCTGCTCCAGCAGGGTCTGGTAACACCTGACCACCTCCTGATGGGGCTCGTTGGGGAGCCCTGTGGGGAGGAGTTGAGCCCATGACAGTGGCACTTTGAAGTGGGTCACTCCTTTGCTCTGGAGGTACTGGAAGTACTGTTTAAAACCAGTCGGCTTAGGATGGCTGCAGTCAAAGGCTCCATTCTCCTCACTGCCGAAAGTTCTGACCCCGTGCTCATTCAGAGGGCCTGCAAGAAGCATAAAATCATCCTGTTCATTCGCCCCACTGCTCCGACCCCCATTCATACACATGCACAGACACACAACCACCAAGTACGTCTTCATCTTCATTTTGAAGAGTACTCTGACTTTATCAAATGGTTGCAAAGTGTTTTAGAAGCAACATTTTGCTCTTGCAGCATTTTTTGCACAATCGAGATATCCTATCCAGTGAAATGCAAGTGTTTTATTGCAGCTGGGTGATATGGTCAGAAAGACTTTGGACTGAGTAGATTGATAACTGCACCCCAGTTGTGTATACTCACAATAAATTAATCATTATTAAAGCTTTTTTAAGATGCCATAACTGATAAAGAGGAGAATATATGTAACAGATTTAACATGAAGAAACACATTCTAGTGTTAAAACAAGCATAAATATTAACAGTTTTATCTTAAAGAAATGTATTGTTTTTAATATTTTGGTAGGTACATGATGGAAAGACCGACTGCTGCTTTTATTTCGAAACAATTGCAAGTACAGAAAAGAGTTCTGTTGCAAATTATTTTCTGCCCCCTGCTGTTGACAACCATGAAAGACATGATTTGACAGGTTAATCTTCTAAATTAAAAATGAAGTCTGTGCTAAAAAGGTTTTAATTGGCGAACTTTCAATCAGCTTGAGTGCAACAGCATGAAATGTCGAGAGCACGACTTGATTACTGAGGAGGTCTTGTGTTGTGCTATCACTCAGTTTCTAACATCCAGATCATTGTGGCTCAGTGTGCGTGAAATGTGGACTGACAACACATGTAGGAGGCAACAATACAAAATACATTCACACAGGAAGAGAGTAAAATTCACTACGATTGAGGCAAATGTGTTTCAACCTGTTCAGTTTCTCATTTAAGACTAAAGGTTACACCAAAAGCAGTTTTAAATCATCTCAATAACTTCCCGTGAGGAGTTGAGCAGTTTATAAGGTTAAATGGACTTTAGATGAGGTATCGGGGTCAAGGTGGCAATTATAATCCACTAAAAGTCTAAAAATATACAGAAAATAACAACTCTAACATTGAAAACTTCAAAGTTTTTCATTTTTTGAGACAGACCTTGCAAGAACTGATAGATAATTTACATTTGAGATGAAATGAATAGTTCTTACATGGACTTACAGATGGGTCAGGATGCTAATCTTGTTTTATGTCTTTCATTTTCTCTCCCTAAATCACATTTGGTACATCTGGACGCAGGTATTGACCAGATGTTGGATGAACAGACTAAAAAAACTCATTTATCTCTGTGGCAGTCAGGCTTCTCAATGGTGATTTCTGTACGGTTCTTTTGGTCTTTTAATGTTTCGTCAACCATGGATGTTTCGTGTGTGTACTGACTGTTTAACAGATCGCTCCTTGGGGATAATAAATATTCTTGAACTTGACATTTCTCTTAATAAATGAAATAAACTTTACCTTTATACTGCAGGCTCTTTCACGTGTTTTACATGGTTAAAAAAAAACATTTATGATTTGCTTTGCAAAGAAGCTGCAGATTAATGAGTATAAACAGCACCCATTACTTTGGCTTATAAGAGAAATTCAGTGTTTTTTTGTGCTTGTTCACGTGTTTAAATGAACTCTGGGTGGCGCCAGTAAGTTGTTTTTGTGGGATACAGGAGATAAAGTGCAGCACTTTAACTTTGGATAAGTAATTACTTATGAAGAGATAAATAAAGAAGATTTCATCATCCTTGTTTAAGGACTCTACTGAGACCTAAACCACCACCTTTAAAATCTGTTCCCAGACCTTCTTGTCTAAAAGCAACTCAGCTCAGTAACACCGCCCACATAAATAAGAGTTGTCAGCTCCACCACATCTCCTCTGCCTCCCCCCTGCTGAGTTACCTACTTCTGGTCTCCAGGGTGACCTGCCTGCTCCACGGGCAGCAGCATTAACTCACGGTGGGCGTCTCTTCTGCACGGTCCTCGACAACTACAATCAACAAGGGGTCTGCTCGATAATCGGAACCTCTGCCGGGACAGGCCACGAGTCAGGCTGCAGAAAGACACGTTTGCTACAGTTTCATGAAATGTTTTGAGGTCAAGTTGATTAACTTGCATAAAACGTTGATGGGTTGCACATGTATGAGTGTTCTGCTGATGCTTGAGTTATACAAACTTGAACAAGGTTCCACAAAGAGATTACATGTAGTTTTTCCATGGAGCCCACTGTTCGTGCACGGGATTATACATCAATTTTTACTGATTTGACTGAAAGTGCTCTGACACCTTTGATAAGCTCAATTATCTAACAGATGTATCACATCAGAAATAAATGCACAGATACAACGGTTAGTGACGTCACGGTGCTCGGTGTCAGAACAAAAACTGAAAAATTTAATGCATGAAACTCCACCAGCTTAAAATGTTGCGCTGACATGACATCAACTGTTTTCTGTGCAGCTTCACCGAGAACATAACGTCAGCGCTGTGTTTAAAAAGATTAATTAAATGTAACATAATGCTGATTAGACCGTGCTGTTTTACAAGACAACACGTTGCAGCTCGACCACAGATAGACCCAAAAACAATCAGAGCAGGTGATACATCGATGGCCCCCAGTGCTGCAGGATTTGAAGCTTGCAGTTTTTGAGACGAGTGTCTTTCTGGACTGGAATTATTTAATGCAAATAAACCTTAATGTTTTTGGTGCAGAAGATTCAAGTGGATAGTAGTGACACTGTGAAGAACAGAGGAAAGTTTTTATTTTTTATTTTTGGCTTGAAGCAGCAGTGATGGACTCAGGTGAGTGGAGGGAGCAATTTTATCCACCACTAGGTGCAATGATGGAGCCAGGGGGTGGCCAATGGTGGCCTTGGCCACCATAGATTAATCTTTGGCCACCACATTTATTTAAAGAAATTATACTTTTAAGCAATATAAAAAACAATAAAGCCTCAAATGATAGAGGTGGCTGGTTTACATTATGTGGCCATCTTGAATTTTGAAGTGGCAACCCAATTTATGACCTTACACGTAGATACAGCCACACACCAAAATGGAAGTCAGCACGTTAACTATGTTTTAGGTTATCCAGCTCACAAGGTTTACATATCTACATATGTGGTGTCACTCATCTTGGACACAATTTTTGAAAGGAACCTTTCTTATGCCTAGTTGCAGCCACACACCCAAATAGAAGTCGGTACCTCATATTTTTCAAGTTACGCTCGCAACATGCACCGACAGACAGAGGGTGTTTATGATTCACCCTCTTCACTCCATGATGGTGGACAACAAATATTAAAATATCACCATACAACGTTTTGGTAATCTATGCTTATTTTTATGCTCGTCTACTGTTGTCATCACTCGGTTAAATCCAGATCTCTCTTGTAAATTAGTCCCCGAGGCTCAGTGAGATTAACCTGTATAAATAAAGGTTGAACGAATGCTGATAAATTCCAACAAAATGTAAGTGTTTTTAATTAGAAGAATTCTGAAAATCTAGTTGTTGAAACTTTTAGCTAAAAAAGCCATATTCCCCAAAAATGCTGTTTAATTACCTCTAACTAGCTGAAAGCTGATATAGAAAATAATTTTTACCCTGAGACATTCAGGTAATAACTTTACTGTTTATATGGAGGACGCCTCAGGTCAGTAGGAGGTCCAGCATTGAGGTTGAGGACGGATTGTGTTTAGACTTTCGGTGCAGTTTGAAGATTAAAGCAGTCCAGAGTCCAGACCACCTCTGAGGGTGATATGAACATATACACATAGGAAGTTTATTCATTATTATCCATCCATCCATTATCTTTATCCGCTTATTCCATTTTGGGTCACGGGGGTCGCTGGTGCCCATGTCCAGCAATCACTGTGCGAGGGGCGGGGTACACCCTGGACGGGTCTCAGTCCATCACAGGGACACAGAGACAAACGAGACAAAACCATTCACTCTCTATCTCACACCTAGGGACAATTTAGAGTTACCAATCAGCCTAACATGCATGTTTTTGGTCTGTGGGAGGAAACTGGAGTACCCGGAGAAAACCCACGCATGCACGGAGAGAACATGCAAACTCCATTCAGAAAGGCCCCCAGACTGGGATTTGAACCAGGGACCTGCTCGCTGAGAGGCAGCAGCTCTACCAGTTGCGCCACAGTGCTGCCCTTATTCATTGTTATATTAAAAAAAAAACAAAAAAAAAAACAGTTACAAGTAAGTAAATGTCATTTCCTGGAAAAATACAGTATGAAAGCTTATTGCTGAAGGATTTTGCTGAAAGCTGCTGAAGAAGCTGAAACCAGGCTGAAAAGGTTTTATCACTAAACTGTTAATGTGAACAGCTGACATTTGCTGAAAACAGGAAAATAAAAGCAGAATGCCGTAGAAAAATAGCCTAAATGTGCAAAAAAGGCTGAAATAGGTTGAGAAAAGTCCAATAGATAAAACAAAATCTAAAATTAGTAAAAAAAAGAATAATAATGGACTGAAACGAGCAGAAAGAGGCTGAAAGGAGCACACAACAGTTGAAATGATTAAAAAGAATCACAAAATGCGGATATTCACTAAAATTAGTAGAAAGAAGACTAATAACAGAAAAAAAATCTAAAAAGTAGCTAAAAACAGAAAATATTAATTAGCAGAAAGAAGCTGAAACGAGCAATTAAAGCTGAAATTAGCAGAAAAAAGCTCAAAAAGACAAAAGAAAACCTAGAAGTTAGTAGAAAAAAGCTAAAAGAAACAGAAAATAACTGAAAAAAAGCTGAGATTAGCTAAAAGTAGCTGAAAGGAGATGAAATTAGCATAATGCTGAACCAGAAACGAAGCAGGAATGAGCAGTAAAAGGATAAATTATTTTAAGTGTGTACAGAGCGCATCATACATATTTAATGAGAAAAACATGGCCGAAAAAGCTAAATATTTCAAAAAGTTAAAATTGCACAAACACCAAAAGTCACAGCAGGAATGTCTCGAATGAACTGAACGTTTTGATGTTGAAATAGCACAAAAATTGAGGAACGAGACGTCTGCTGAAAAACGTACGGAAGAAAAATGGATCAACAATGTGAATGATTTAGAAACATTCACACGATTAA